GAAGAACTCTGTTCTCTCTCTCTTTGTCTTTATAAATCTATCTTTCAAATAAAAACAAATCTTAAAAGACCAAATAAGATTAACCTTTTAAAATAAATAAGTTGTTACGGTTTAACAAGAAGGAAGCAAAGCTGTACAGGGACAAAGGGACCCAATATAGAAGATATGGAAAGCTGTCTTTCATAAGCAAATCTGAAGTTGTTGAAGCAGGAAAAGAGCAACGAAGCTGGCGGACGTCAGCGATCCAAGCGCCTGCCATCGCTGGGTGAGGCAGCACTGGCCGGGGTACTTCTCAATAGTGTATCACAGTACTTACGCACTGCCCGTCTTCCTCTTCTGCTACATGACAAACAGCCTCGAGAAAATTCTCCACTATCTTGTCCAGGAAGCTAAGGATGGCTAAATTGAGCTTTTAGCACAGTTTCTAGATGCTGGTTAAAAAAAAAAATCAGCACCTACAAACCCATTAGCGCCATGACCCAGAGCTCGGTCTCCAGTTCTCCAGTTCTGTACATTAAAAGTTCACGAGACCATGACACACACTTTATAATGTACTGGATGGCTTGGACTCCATTTACAGAAAACAGCATTTTTTTTTTTTTTTTGCCAATGGTCCATCAGAAGCAGCTACTTATGTGTGTGTGTGTGTTCCAGATCTGAATCTGCAGAATTGACTTCCCGGGAAAAGTATCAGCGTGTGTGCGTGGCTGTGCGGCTGTGCGTGGCTGTGCGTGGTCGTGCGTGGTTGTGCGGCTGTGCGTGGCTGTGCGTGGTCGTGCGTGGCTGTGCGGCTGTGCGTGGCTGTGCAGCCGTGCGTGGCTGTGCGTGGCTGTGCGGCTGTGCGGCTGTGCGTGGCTGTGCGGCTGTGCGTGGCTGTGCGGCCGTGCGTGGCTGTGCGTGGCTGTGCGGCTGTGCGTGGCTGTGCGGCTGTGCGTGGCTGTGCGGCTGTGCGTGGCTGTGCGTGGCTGTGCGGCTGTGCGGCTGTGCGGCTGTGCGTGGCTGTGCGGCTGTGCGTGGCTGTGCGGCTGTGCGGCTGTGCAGCTGTGCGTGGCTGTGCGGCTGTGCGTGGCTGTGCGGCCGTGGTGAACGGTGTGGTGAACGGTGTGTCCTGTGTGGTTCAGTGTTCTCTTGGGTCACCATGCCGGCGGTGAGCTGTCCCTGCACCTTCCACTTCATCTCCCATCATTCCTTACAGCCAGCTCCTGCTTTAACCGTTTAGATCTGCATTAATTTTTAAGTCCCTGGAGGAACACTGTGTTCCCCAAACATTATGTTCTGCATTCTCCTGCTCCATCACTTCCTGAAGTGCCAGACACCTCCTGGGATCTCACGAAATGTTTCTTTTTAGAAGATTGGCAGTGACTCTGGGATGCCCATAAAATATTTCTCAGATGAGTTACTCGCCCTGTTTATTTATCCCAAGTGGTCAAGCTCAAAATATTGGTTAATAGAACGACTGGGTCTCAGTGGGCCTTCACTAGTCTCTCTCTGCCTCCATTGAAGCACAAACACCGACTGGTCTTATAGCAGTGTTGGAAAGAGATCACAGAAACATTAAAAGAAAGAAAGCCTTCTGGTAAGAATATGAAATGTGCGTGTGGACATTCAGCCTCATCCACGTCAGCACGTCTGGCTCCAGTGCCTGGCTCTAGCTCCTGGCTCCAGCGCCTGGCTCTAGCTTCCTGCCAACGCAAAGCCTTAGAGCTGGTCATGACGGTTCAGATGGCTGCTTTCCTTCCACCCCCGTTGGATCCCTAACTGAATCCTGAGCACCAAGTCAACCCTGGCTGACTCAACTATTCACCAGTGGGTGAGAGCTCTGTGTTTCTTTGCCTTTCAAATACATAAGTTTTTTTTAAAAAAAGATTGATTTATTTTTATTACAACATCAGATATACAGAGAGGAGGAGAGACAGAGAGGAAGATCTTCCGTCCGGTAATTCACTCCCCAAGCCGCCACAATGGCTGGTGCTTTGCCTATCTGAAGCCTGGAGCCTGAAACTTCCTCCAGGTCTCCCACGCTGGTGCAGGGTCCCAAGGCCTTGGGTTGTCCTCGATTGCTTTCCCAGGCCACAGGCAGAGAGCTGGATGGGAAGCGGAGCTGCTGGGACACAAACCAGTGCCCATATGGAATCCCAGTGAGGACTTTAGCTGCTAGGCCATCGTGCTGGGCCCCAAATACATAAGTTAAAAAAGAAAGAAAGAAAAATTATGTGAAATGCTAGGAAGAGAGCATCATTGCCTGGAAGCAGATCTCAGAGCAAGCTGAGCTCACTGCCATGACAGAATCTGCTCCTTGCTGCAGCCAAGCTCTGTCCCCCAGAATTCCTTTCTGCTCGTGGCACCTGCTGCACACAGTAGGACTGTGCTTGCAGTCAACTTGAAACCTGCTGTAGCCACAGTACCCCCTCCTCTCTCAGCTGTCTCCGGAGCACTTGAATGCCTTCCCCCGGGGCCCATTGGAACCTCGCTCTGACTTCCTGTGAGGACCATGGACAGAGGTCTAGCCGGCCAGCCCTTTTAGGCAGGACAGCTGCTTTCCCGGACAGGGAGACTCTCCGTGGCCGGCTTCTCTTTGTCTAGGGCTGCTCTGCTCTCCTCCAACCTCCTTCTTTGTGGCACAGTTGCCCCTGGAAACACTGGCTCCATCCATACTCCAGGCTCCTGAGACACAAGGAATTTTCGTTATTGCAAAGGCAGCTGTACAAGCATTTTCAAGTATTTTCATCATCAAATGTTGCAGAGGAATACAGAAAATAGTTTAACAAATATATGTATGTAACATCTAGCTTATAAATTGTTCAGATTTGACTTTCTTGTTCCTCTTGTGCTTATCTGCTCTGTAAAAGACCTTACGATACATCTGAGGCCCCTTGCCTGGCATACAGCTGAGGCCCCTTGCCTGGCATACAGCTGAGGCCCCTTGCCTGGCATACAGCTGAGGCCCCTGTCCTGGCATACAGCTGAGGCCCCTTGCCTGGCATACAGCTGAGGCCCCTGTCCTGGCATACAGCTGAGGCCCCTTGCCTGGCATACAGCTGAGGCCCCTTGCCTGGCATACAGCTGAGGCCCCTTGCCTGGCCTTGCCTTGTTTATTTCTCTTTTTCCAAAAGCAACCATTCTCTTGAAGTTGATGCAAATCATTCCCATGCTTGCCTCTCTGCTTATATTGCATGTATATATTCATAAACAATACAGAGCTTTGTGTTTGTAAAATCTAAAGCACAGCTATGTCATGCAGGGTGTAAGATTCTGCAATTGTTTATCAATAATTTTTAGATTTGTATCATTGTGAAACACAGAACAAATAAAATGTAACAGTTTCATATTTTTCTTGGGCTTGAAAGTGCATGTTACCTAGTCATGCTCTTGTTTTAAGGACATTTACGTTGTTTTGGTGATTGTTTACCACTGTCAGCAATAGAAAATAGATACTTAATATAGATTATTTACTTATATTTCCATAAACTTGGGCTGTTTAAATATTTAAATATATTACATTCATATTTATAATATATATCATTTTGGGCCCAGTGGCGTGGCCTAGTGGCTAAGTCATCCACTTGAATGCACCGGGATTCCATATGGGTGCCAATTCTAATCCCGGCAGCTCCACTTCCCATCCAGCTCCCTGCTTGTGGCCCAGAGCTTTGGGACCATGCACCTGTGTGGGAGACCCGAAAGAAGTTCCTGGTTCCTGGCTTCGGGTCGGCGCAGCACCGGCCTTTGCGGTCACTTGGAGAGTGAATTATCAGATGAAAGATCTTCCTCTCTGTCTCTCCTCCTCTCTGAATATCTGCCTTTCCAATAAAAGTAAATCTTAAAAAATATATAATATATATCATTTTAAATATAAATGTTATAAAATATTGAGCTATTTAAATAAGTAGTGCTGCAATTAACATTGAATTACTGGTTTCCTGGTGCATCCGATGTTATTTATTGGAGAGACAGACAAGGAGGGAGAGATCTTCCATCCGCTGGTTCATCCTCCGAGTGTTTACAGTAATTAGGATTGGATCCAGCCTACCACCAGGACCCGGTGTCTCAGTCCAGAATACCCCCCTTACCTGTGATATGAGAGAACAGGGGGCTGGCATAGTGGCTTAACAGACAAATCCTCCACCCATATGGGCACCAGAGAGAGACAGAAAGAGAGAGAGAGATGAGACAGAGAGAGAGATGAGACAGAGAGATGAGAGAGAGATGAGACAGAGAGATGAGATGAGACAGAGAGATGAGACAGAGAGAGAGAGAGAAGAGAGAGAGAGATGAGACAGAGAGAGAGATGAGACAGAGAGAGAGAGAAGAGAGAGAGAGAGATGAGACAGAGAGAGCTCTCTTTGTTTCACTCTGCAAATGGCGGCAATGGCCAGAGCTGGGCCAGTCTGAAGCCAGGAACCAGGTTTCATCAGGTCTTCCATTGCACTCGGCATCCTCTGCTGCTTTCTCCAAGCCTTTAGGATGGAGTCGAGTCAGAAACGGAGTAGCCAGACCCAAATCGGTTGACCATTTGGGATGCTAGCTTAACTTGCTCAGCCTTGGCGCCAGCCACCCCATCCCCTGTCTGTCTTGTGAGAAGTTGCACTGGGTGTCCAGCCCAAGGCTTCAGTCTGACCTTTTCTGCATTGTTGTGGGCGTCTGGGGAGTGAATTGGGTAGGAGATCTTCCCTTTTTCTGCGTGTCAGTTTCTCTGCCTTTTGGACAAATAAAATAATAATGAAGGAAATTGCAGACTTGATGGGATAGATTCCTTCAAGAAGATCAATCTTTAGAGATAGTTGCACATTCATATACACAGTGGCGTTTTTCACAATAGCCAAGAGGTGGAAGCACCCAAGGCTAGGTCGACGTATGAATGGATTGCTGGAGTGCAATGTGTACTTGGACGTGTGGTGGCGTATTATCCATCTTTTTTATGCTTTTAGACACGGTTTGATAGGCACTGGGGTCTCCCTTCTCCTCAAGTTCCCTCCCCTCCCTACTCGTCTCCCCTCCAGTCTTACAAGAGGTTCTGTGAATTTTCACAAGTTCTTCATGCCGCCACTGAGGTGTCCCCAACAACGGAGGAGATTATGAGTCATTCCGCGGAGTCCAACCTTGCATTGCACGCACGGGGACATACTCTTCTCTGTCTCCGCCTAAGAGCGCGTTAGTTTCCGCTGCACTTCCGTTCTGCATCTCCTTACGTACGGTCAACCACAGGAAGAACCGCGGCTCTGACACATGCTGGCTGAGCAAAGAGAAGACAGTGGACAGGCGTGCAGTCTCACTTCTGCGAGGCAGAAGAGCTGTGGAGCTTCGTGGGCAACGATTTGAATCTGCTTAGCCGAGAGGGAGGGCTGGCATACGACCCGGCAGCTCAGGTGCTGCACTACACAGCAGAATGCGGGGTCTGACTTCCAGCTCTGCTTTCAGGCGCAGCTGGAGATGGCCCAGGTGCTTGGGTCCTGATGCTCACGTGGGAGACAGGGACGGAATTCCAGGCGCCTGGCTTCAGCCTGGCCAGCCTCGGCTACGGTGGGCATTTACGGGGGCAAACCAACTGATGGAAAATCTTTGTTTCTCTCTGTGTGTTTCTCTGCCTTTCAAATAAATAAAAAGGAAAAATTACTCCAACAATAAATTTTATTTTGTCACAATTAAAAAATAAATAAGTCCGCTTCCTGAGGGCAGGGGCTTGTTTCATTTGCCCCTGACTTTCTGGCGTCTAGCAGAGGGTCTGACGCATAGCAGACACTTGACAAGAATTCTGCCTTCGCTGTGGCTGCTCTGGCCACCACCCTCCACGGCAGGACACAGGCCAAGTGCTCCTGGCAGCTGCTTCAGCAAACACAGCCGTGTCTCTCCTGGGCACAGAGGGGAAGAATTTCAAATATTTGTGATTGATATTTGTCCTGGTCACACCAACTATTCTTTGCATCTCAATTATGCTTTTGCGAGCTCCTTCTGTATTAAATTTTCTAAACATAGATCCTGTTTCTACTTCCTAAAACAGAATTTCCACAGGCTTTGAATGAAAAAAAAAAGTGGAAGGAAGTCTGCGGGGTGAAGTCATGCTTGGGTCCACACACGGGCAGCTGAGAAGCCCGGCACAGGCGGGCGGCCGGGACCGAGGCAAGCAGAGGTCGGCCGCAGGGTTTGCAGCTCGGGCCGTGTCTGGCCGAGTCCGGGCTTGTTTCGCTCATGCTTGTTTTTCTTTTTTCACTTGGCCAAAAATAGAGAGAAAAAGCTTCCTTGTACTTGGGATTTTCTACTCTTTTCCCAGGTTTTTGGTTTCTCTTGGCCTGCCCCTTCCTTCCTGTCACCTGCTGTTCCTCTGCAACCTCTTGCTTTCTTCATCATGCCCGCTGTGGTGTTCTGCCACCCTGACTTGGTGCAGGATACCAACGAGGAACCCCCATGCAGCACTTACTGATCACACCAGTGGCTTGTGGCAAGGGCCCGAGGGGCTCCAATGGGGAGATTCCCGTTGGTGGTTCAGGCACCTGTCGGTCCCCGTTGGTGGTTCAGCGTGGTCTTGCCCTGAGCAACTCGGTTAGCATTCCATATTGAAAGTATTTTTCTGGTACATCCTTATGCTGGTATGACAAGCAGGGAAGTGTGAACCAGAACCAATCCAAAGCCTCAGAAAAAACTGGATCAACCGTAGAACCCATCAAGCTTTGTAGGCTTGGAGATTTGGCTTTTTGAAAAAGAATTGATTAATTAATTTGAGAGGCAGAATTGCGTCTGCTGGTTTACTCGCCAACGTCCACAAGCCAGGAAGAGGGAACGTGGAGGCAGGGGCTGGGCTGCCTGCTCTATTCCCCACTGCCCCTCAGGGCCTGCACTGACAGCAGGCAGCAAACACTGGGATTAAACCGTTCCAATGGGGGACCCAGGTGTCTCAGCTGCTAGACCCTTTAAAATGTAGCACTTCATGTTCTTGTCATGTGATGCACTGCTATAAGGACTTTCAAATATTAACTCAACAACCCGATGAGCTGGGAACAATTATTGTCTGAATTTTATGGATAAAGGAATTGAGGCCCAGAGGGCCTAAGCGACTTCCTCAAGCTCACACTGCTGACATTTCCCAGCCTGCCTCCTGGAAAAGTTAATCTGTAGCATTCTCTATAAATGTGCCTTTCCAATAAAAATAAACTGAAAAAAAAAAAAAAACCCACACAAGGGTAGCAGGGAGCAAGGTACTTGGGCCATGATCTGCTGCTTTCCCTGGCACATTAGCAGGGAGTCAAACTGGAAGTGGAGCAGCCAGGACTTGAACTGGCACTCTGATATGCCAGTGTTACAAGTGACAGCTTATCCCAGTGTGCCACAATGTGGGCCCCACAAAATATTCTGTATTTTACTGAACCTGACCCTGCATAGGCTGGCACACATGAGTCAAGCCTGAGGTCATTCCACACGAGGTTTCTTGCGGGACTCCTCAATTAGACCACTGGACTCAAACCCGAGCCACAGGGAATAGCAAGATAGGCGGTCTGACCTTGGTGTGCATGTATCAGGAACGGGCCTCCTCAGCTGTGGAGGATTGTGCAGTGGACAGCATGTCCCAATGCACACGGAGGGCATGACAGCTGGGTCATCTAGGCCAGCAGAGGACACTGAGTGCCTGTTCAGCAGATGAAAAGCCGAACAGGTTGGACCAATCTCCTGGCCAAGTTTTGCAACAAGTTCCTGGGCCTGTGGATGCACTGTGGCAGACGTGGTCAGCCAACAGATGTCCTAACCCTGGTACAACGAAGCCAACAACATCTCAGAACTATCAACACCACTCAAATGTTCTTCCCCCACATCAGTGTCTAATGCGTCATCAAATGACTGTCCCCCATCCCTGGATGCTGATGTAGCTTGACAGCAACGAGTGCCTCCTTCCCTCCCCTCCCTGCAGACACAGAAGGAAAACAAAAGGAAGCACCGTGGGGCTGCTCACCCACTTTCCAAAATAGGCCCTTGCCTGGGAAGGCCTGCACCCAACAAGAGCTTGGCGTGCAGGGGAGAGCCTGGCCATTCGGCTCCAGCTGGCCCCTCCCTCTGTTAGGGTCTGGGTTAACACACTCATGACCCAACAGAGAGCAAAGACACAGAGTGCTGGCTGCCAACTGTGGCTGGGTGGGACTGTGACCTGGAACAGGGGAGGTACGCCTAGGCCTTCCTAGGCTCACTGAGAGGCTGCAGCCAGCCTCTGGCCCTGGGTGACACCCTTGGCTCCCCGGTCTCGCTGCGTGATGCCCCTTGCATAGGCATCCGTGCCCAGTCCCATGCAGGCTGCTCCCCCAGGCTTTCTAACTGCCTCTGGTTAAAGTTTAAATACCCGGGTTGCAGCCCAAGAGAAAAATGTAAACAGGCCTCTTGTACAGCCTTCCAGAGCAGGGTGGCTGCCGTCCAGGGTGTCGGAAGGCTGAGCAAGGAAACCCAGCCTGCCGCGCCCAGCTGCAGGCCCCGTGTCAGCCCAGGGGCTTTCCGGGCGCCGCAAGCCGCCCCCACACCACGGACAGGCTTCCACGGGAGCCACATGTCTCCTCTCGACTGGTTTTAGTCATCAGGATCCCGCGTGTTTGTGGGGCGCTGAGGTGTATAGCACTCTTGAGCCATCTATGCAGTCTGCTTCAGAACGGGAAGGAAGTGAAAGGAACAGTCGTTTTCCTGCTGGGATTTTGTGCGTGGGAGGAGGAGGGGCTTTGCAGTTGGGCTGGTGGGGCGGTCAGTGCAGGAAGTTGTCTGTGAGCCCTGAAAATGGGACCACACCGGGCAGCCCGGGAGAGCGCAGGCGGCTCACAGCTCCCTCGCTTTTGTTTGTTTTTGAGTCTTGATTAAGGATATTGATTTTCTATGGTTTTTTTTTTGCTGTGTGTACTTGTGTGTGTCAAGATGGATTCAGCAATAATTTGGAATGCTGTAGTCAAGGGTTTGCTGTTTGCTTTCTCCTACGCAGGACCTCGGATAATTCCTCAGTTCAGGTCCAGCCTCTTACTCAAAACCTTCTGTAGTCTGGCTCGTCCCTCGCCATTCCTGCCTTAGCCTGAAACCTCCTGAACCTCGTTACTTCCCTTCTAAAAATTTTAGTTGGAAGGCAGGGTTACAAAGACAGCAGGAGAGACAGAAAGAGGGGTTTTTGAATAGATCCATTTATTTTCTTCAAAAGGCAAATTTTCAGAGAGAAGGTCTATCCGCTGACTCACTCCCAAGTGGCTGCAACAGCCAGAGCTGAGCTGATCCGAAGCTGGGAGCCTGGAGACCCCGCCAGATCTCCCACAGAGACTCTGGGGCCCAAGTACTGGGTCCATTCTCCACTGCCACCCCAGGTCATTAACAGGAAGCTGAATCACAAGCTGAGTAGCCAGGACTCGCATGCAGGATAAGGCACTGCAGGTGACAGCTGAGCTTACTGTGTCATGTAGGAAGTTTTCTACCCAACTTCTGTCTTTGCAGGGTCCTCAATCTCCCCCAACCTCTACTGCTGCTACCCAGCTCCACACTGCCTGGAGCCAGGTAAGGATCCAGCTCTGGGGTGTCCTGGCTTTGTCATCTCTCCACTGTTTGGCGCTCAGGAAAGTGCTGTAAGCGTGGCACGCTGCAGTCCCTCATCCCAGGCTCAGCCTTCCGTGGAGCCCAGCCCTCGTTTGCAGCCCCCTTGGAAGGTTGTGTGTCAGCTCTTGGAATGCCGTGAAAGGAGGAGTTTGGAGTCAACTGGGTTTGCGCTGCTGACCCTGAGCGCTGGGATGGCACCCCGAAAGTTGCCCTTGCTGAACCTTGGTTTCTCCTCACTGCTCCGCCTCCCCCGCGGCCTTGAAAACCACATCTCTTTTGCAGGATTTTGTGGAAAATCAGATGAGGTCCTGCAAGGGCAGAGGCTGACACACGCAGCTTTGGTCTCAACCTGACCCTCTCTTGATGCTGAAGCATCTTGCTCTGGGACAGGGTTCTTTTGAAACAATCTTAAAAGGTATGGACCACATTCTCCCTTTAGGGAGACGACTTGCCTTGATGGAACAGCTTCTCCTTTGTTCTAGAATGTTGTTTCTCACAGGCTGATCTTGTGAGTAGACTTGGACGTGTCTGCTGGTCTCAAACTCAGTGGTGGGTCTGTTGCTGAGCTTTTTTATGTGTAGTCTGAGATGAAAGGACATCTTTCCACTATCAATGTCAACTTTATATATTTTTTGAAGGTTTATTTGTTCTTCTGAAAGGCACACACACACTTCCACATACTAGACCACTCTCCAGAAGGCTACAGTAGCCTGGGCTGGGCCAGGCAGAAGGCAAGGCGGGAGCACCAGCTGGGCCACTCACGTGGATGGTGGGGACTCAACCATTTGGGTCATCTGCTGTCTTCCCAGGGCGCTGCAGTGGAAGTGCAGTAGCTGGGATCTTAAGTGGCACTCTGTGGAATGCAGGTGTCCCGAGTTCAACCCAATGTGCCACAAGACCAGCCCCTGCCACTGCCAACTTGAAAGGGAAAGAGCAACCTCCCTGCTCTTTCCACACCCCACGGTGGGGAAGTGGATTCCATTCATCCATTCATTATGCACCCAATGCCTCTGGTGTGCTGGGTGCCAAGAGAACATAGCAATCACCCAAGTCCATGGCTTACAAAGTTTTCCACTCTAGGGGGCTTGAGCTGTGTGGGGAGGTTGGCAGTGGGGAGTGAAGTGACCATCTAACTAAACAAAGACTGCAGGGGAGGGCACGGCAGTGGGTCAGGAACAAGCTATACCCGTGTTGAGCATGGCTGTCAGTAGACAGCAGGGACAAAGCCCTTTGGGGAGAGGGACGTTTCCCCTCTCCTGCTGTCACTACTGGCAGCCTACAACATCCGGCTCTACCACCCTGAACCTGAACAGCCACATCCGAGGCCAGGTGACCAAAGCTTCCTTGGAAGTCACTGCGTGATGACTGCTGGCTCTCATCACAAACTGGACGCAGGACTTTCTGTTCTGGGTTTTGATGCGAGAGCAAGCAAACACTGGCAGAGTGGAGGCCGTGTGTGTGTGTGTGTGTGTGTGTGTGTGTGTGTGTCTGTCTGTCTGTCTGTCTGGGAGTGTGGGGGCCAGGGCTGCTAGGTGCTCTTGTGTAGGTGTTGCCACAGAATTCAGAGAACACAGTGGCAGTTTAGGACAATCTGGAAACAGCTCAGAGCAAGCGGAGGCTGAAACGGCCCTGAGCAGAAAAGCAAGAAGGAAGTCGCAGCAGCAGTGGAAGATTGCCAATGTCAGGCTGAAGAGCCGCAGATGTCACAAAAACAAGAACAAACTGTGTGACTCGTGTTTTCCCTAGTCACATCCTATTATCATATTTGCGTCTTTAAAGATTACTGAAATTACAACATTTGGTCTTGCAAACATGATGTACATAGAAAAACATAAAAAGCTGTGATATTTTTAAAGTTACATATGAGCATATTCTAATTTATCCCTTTGGATAAATTTTATCGATTACAACTTTGCTTTCCTTCTCCATATAAAGTCTTCCCCCCCAGGACTGGCATTGTGGTATAGTAGACTAAGTCTCTACTACAACACCAGCAGCCTATACCAATGTGAGTTTGAATCCTGCTTGCTCCACTTCTGATCCAGCTTCCTGCCTAAGGCCTGGGAAGGCAGTCCAAATGTTTGTGCCCCTGCATCCAGTGGGATACCCCGAAGAAGCTTCTGGTTCCTGATGTTGGCCATTGTGGCACTGGGGGAGTGAGCTACGGGGTAGAAGATTCTCTCTCCTTCTCTTCCAAACAAATAAAAAATAAATTTAAAAATAGATTCTTCTTCAGCACTTAAAAATTGACTCTAAATTGGCTTATTAGAAAATAGTTAAAAGATATCCTTATTACTAACACAATTTGAAAAATCCCTTTGCTAAAAGATCTATTTATTTGTTTGAAAGGCAGTGATGGGGTTGGGGGTGCGGTGGCGCAGAGAAAGCTCTTCCATTTGCCGGGTCATTCCCCAGGTGGCTACATAAGCAAGGAGGGACCAGGCTGAAGCCAGGAGTCAGGAGTTTCATCTGGGTCTCCCACATGATGGCAGGGGCCCCAAACAATTGGCCCATCTTCTGCTGCTTTTCCCAGCTCCTGGATCAGAAGTGGAGAAGCTAGAACTTGAACCAGCACCCTTATGGGAGGTGGGCGTCACAGCTGGGGCCACAAGACCCGCCACCAATTGAGAAATTTGCAGTATCCAATCTAATAGAGACACTCCAATGTAGTGAGGGGCAGGAGATATCAGAGCAAGAACTACAGGCCCCGGGTGATGTGACGGCTTTTATCTCAAGTTCATGTAGAAACGTTAGTATCTGTGACCAAAAGAAATAAAATAGTTTAGTTTTGGTTAGATTCATGAACTTGAGCCCCATATTAATGGGGTTATAAGTTGCTGAACTTGAAGATATCAACTATCGTTTTTAAAGATTTATTTATTTTCATTGGAAAGGCAGATTTATAGAGAGAAGAGAAGACAGAGAAAGATCTTCCATCCACTAGTTCATTCCCTCAGTGGCTGCAGTGGCCAGAGCTGAGCCTATTCGAAGCCAGGAGCCTCTTCCGGGTCTCCCGTGTGCGTGCAGGGTCCCAAGGCTTTGGGCCATCCTCTACTACTTGCCCAGGCCACAAGCAGGAGCTGGATGGGAAAAGGAGCAGCCAGGACATGAACCAGCACCCATATGGGATCCCAGTGTATGTAAGTGAATATTTAGCCACTAGGCTATCGTGCTGGGCTCTTATTTGACTTTTCCTCATTGATGAGGAAGCAGCAAAGTGTAAAACACAAACTAATTAAATGTTTTTATAGACCTACTGCCATCCATAAGGCATTTATTTTCAGAAAAGATATATAAAGAAGCATTTATTTTCAGAAAATAATCCAAATGTGGGGCAAGGAAAGAGAAAAAAGTAAACCAAACTCCTTGACTACAGGCCTGTTCAAGCATTCCCATTTTCGTCTACTGAGTGGATATCCACACTTTGGTCAATTCCTGCTCCCCGGGTACTGTATCTCTGGGGACCCTCTCTACGAACGTGCGAGGAGCCCTCTGTTACATCTGTGGGTCCCCGGCCTGCAGACTCCCTGAAGCTTGGACAGAAACTGTAGTTAGGGGCAGCTTTGTGGTGTGTTGGGTTAAGTGGTCGCTTGCGACACCACCATTCCTTCTCAGTTGGTGTGAGTCCTGGCTGCCCCAGCCCCGGTGCGGCTCACTGCTGGTGCACCTGGCTCGGGCCTCTGCGTTCATGGGAATCAGGGAAGGTCCTGTTTCCTGCCTGTCCTGGCCATTTGGGGGAGTGAACCAGAACACCAAAGGCCTCTTGCCCAATCTTTCTCTTCATCGCACTTCCTTTCAAGTAAATAAAATGAATGTTTAGAAAACAACAGAAAGGAAAGCATGCTAGGCCTGCAGTAGTCGCACCTGTGCTGACCACACGTGGACGTTTATCATCTACAGAGCACTTGCGTTGTCTTACGTCTTCTATGCACTGGAGGTGATGTGAAGGATACCAGAGGATGGATGTGAGGCCACATGCAGACGCTCCGTTCTTCATTACCAAGACGAGCGTCCTTGGCACCTTGGCACCCACGATGGATCTCACAGCTCCGGAGGTGTGACTGTGCCTCTTGATTGGCTCTCAAGCTCTACTCCAGAGGAGGCAGATGCGTTTCCACCTCAGCAGCCCAGTGTGCTCTGGGAAGCCTCCCGACTCAGGAGCTGGACAGAGGAGGCCTTACAGTGCAAGTTTGCGGCTCTTGCCTTCAGGGAGTGGCAGACCGCTCTTACACACTGCTGTCCAGTTCCTGATTGCTTAGCTCTCTTGCCTAGGGGATCTAAGGAATGGTGCTCTCTGCTCTCTCTCTCTCTCTCAACCCCAAAGCAATTTCCCCTCCTCTGAGAGGTGCTGTGGTGTCAGGCTGCACTGCCCTTGAACCAGACAACTTACTCTGCTTGTCTCTATCTGTCTAAATAAAGCTAACCTACATTTGCTGTCTAATTCATTCGGATGCTTGCTGATGCTATTTACAGCAGCCCCGAAGGCCTGTGGAAAACAAGACGTCTGATCTCCCGTGGGGAGCTTGGGGCTTGCTGGCCATTTAAGGAATTCAAGAATCTGAAGCATCTCTTCAGTTTGCAGTGGTTCAGATGGAAAGGGCCAGAAGCTCCAGGAGTTCCTTTTCATTCCATGCAGTCTGAGACTTGGACTTGTGCGACCCGTTGGCAGAAAAAGAGGGAGCTAGAAAATCAGTCTCAAGTTCTCTCCTCTCTTTCTCGAAGATGCGATTTCATCCTGGCCGGAGTGAGTTAGTCCCTGCACACGGACTCCCCTCCCCGGGAGGGAATGTGCGAGTTCTGAAACACACGGACTCGCGGGGAAGCTTTCGCTTCGTTCCGCCATGACCTCTTCAGCCACTGTGCGGCATCTCGGTAGAGAATCCTGGGACTTGACACGAAAAGGACAGGCTCGTGCGCGTGAGGGGCTCTTGGTTCTTCTCCAGGGTAAGCTTATGTATACCTTGGAATTGAGCGAGGCTTCAGCTCCGGGATTTATGTGGATCTGTTGGTTTGTTTAGTAGGAGGAAAGAGCTGGTACAATGGGATTGTTTCAGCGTTAGCGCCCCGCTGCTACCTGACAGGCCGGCTTATGAGCAGCATCTACTTGTTCAGCCTGGCTCCTCTGACGTCTGTTGCAGTGAATGAGTCAGAAGCCACAAGCTAACAGGTCTATTCTGTCTCATCGTCACCTAGGAAACCAGCGCATCATCCACAGGAAATGGAGCCCAAAGGGGAGTGTACCCAGATCGAGCTATAAAGCTGGCAAAGCGGGTCACATAATAATGTCCACAGTCTCGGGCTGGAGTGAGACGTGGGTCTCCTCGACACGGGTGGAGGGCTGTAAGGCAGACAGAGCGGGAGGAAGTCAGCCTTAAAAGCCCACGTCTGCCTGACAGAAACTGAATGAGATGTGACTTGATTTCTCCAGCAGCTTTTATTTCCCCAAAGGCTTAGGCTGTTTTGCGGTAGGGTTATACAGTATGCAACGAGATAAAGAAATCAACAACACAGCAAGTGAGGCTTTCTGCTGAGTAACATGTCCATGTGCCCTTCAGGCTTCTCGTCCTGACCCAGTGCGGGGGAGGCCTCAGCGGGACCTCGGCGCCCTCAGCCTCACTGTGATTGGTTTTGACTGTGTTATTTCAGCATAGTTCATCGGCCT